GACTAGTTCACTTACTAGAATTTGTAAATAGCAGCTTTACACAATCTGCAACTCTGACAGTCTAGCAATTGATAAAACAGGTTCTCCTTAATCATTTCTGAAGATATACTGTACTCTTACAGCTCTCCTTTTAAAGAACTGGGGGGGAAAAGAGGCAGGCGCAAGAGATGGAACCACCAATGGTATGAAATTTAACTGAATTAATGTAAGACCTGGATAATGTTCATGTCTGTTCCACTCATTCAGCAATAGATCCAGTTAAATATTTATTATGCACCTACTATATGCACTGGAGACTAAGTGATGAACACACAAGATAAAGTCCCTACCCCCGTGGAGCTTACGGTCTAGTGGATTCCAGGGAATTTTCATTCCCGTGTTTCAAGTTTTTGTTTCAGCAAACTCCTGGGGAATAATTAAATCATCCTCCTATTTTTAAGGAAGAATAAAAACCACCACATTAATTCCCTTTCAAGCTTCTTTTTGCAGAATAGGTCCATAAAGATGGTATGACTTTAAAACAAGAAAAACACATTCCTTCCCTAGGAAGAGAGATCCTTAAACTCTGCCATCCCTCTAAATTAAGACCACCACCACTTATTGGGTTGAACACTAATTGACATAAGTGAAGACTCTGAGGTTTGCCTTGGGGATTGAAAGACGTTATTTATTCAATCAATTATGTTCACAAGGTGACAGCTGATTTTTCTTTCTCTTTCCCCCGCCCCTCTCACACCACTTTAGCCTTTTTAGGCAGAACAGTTAGAAACAGAAGGTAGAGCATGGGGGAGGGGAGGGAGATAGGCCTATAAAATGGATATAAATAAATAAATAAATACAAACTAACAGGGAGTCCGAGTCATTATTTAGTTCCTCGCTTTGGTATGGAAGGATCAAATCAAAGTCCAATCGATAGAGTCCTTTCAAATAAAGTTCCAACACTTAAAATCTCAACCCACAGGAGATCAGGCTTAAAGAGGCTAAATTTACACCACTTATCACACAATGATGCCTGAAATGCAGAACAAACATTAAGTGGATGTACCTTTATAGACACGGCTTAAAAGCATCTTGGACTGACACACCATAAACCAGCTTGAGTTTATTATTTCTTTTCCCTCTGAGTTTTTTTTTTTCTCTCTCTCTCTTACTAGGCTATCTTTCTGTATGTGCCAACGTACAGATAAGTGAATTACCTGGTGGTCTCATTTCCCTAATACCAGAACTGTGCTGGCCAGGTGCACCCCCACAAAGGAGTCTCAGAGTCTTTGAGGTGCAAAACATTTCACAGATTCCCCACTCTGAGAGTCTCTGAGAAATAGCTGATTATCAATGAAAACACAAAACTTGTCTTAGAGGAACAGAAAGAAGTTACGACTAAAGGTAGCTAAATCCAGACCGTATATTTCCGTTATTATCAAACTGATGCTTCCTGGGGAAGCTCTGAGTTACCTAGGAGGCTCCAAAGAGAGTCATATTAGACCTTGCAAAAATTAAAATATTCCAAAGCAGTTCTCAAAAGACACATCTACGGAGAGCTCTTAACAAAAGAGAATCGCTCACTTAATTATCACAGCAATAAGAGACTGGTATAAAAGACCCCACTGGAAACGTTTTGTTATGGGTCACGGGTTTGGAGCAAATACAATAAACAGTATCAGTGCCCGCTGTGTGTAAGGGACTGCTCAGAAGCTGTGGGGAGCAGGGACGCAGATTAAGATATGAAGCCCAGACTCAAAGGGTCGTTGGTCTTTTCAGAGGAAACAGAGGAATGAAGAGCAATGAAAAGCAAGACAGCCTCTGAGAAGCGCTACGACTTTTAAAAGAATAAAAGTATAGCCACGCGCCACCTAATGACATTGTGGTCAACAACAGACCACATATACGATGATGGAAGCCTGATAAATAAGTCAGATATTTTGGTCCCGCTCCCAAACAAAATGGCATGAGTCCTAATATATGAATCAATATCTAATCAAATCTACAAATTGTTTTAAATACAATGCTTTTCAATTAGGAATAGCCTGATAGAATGTATGGCTTCAATATAATTTTCCCATAGTAGCTAATAAACTCTGGAGTAAGGTTTGTTTTTATTTTTATAAGTAACCCAAAATCTTTAGGTATAACTGCAAAACATTAAACTGACCCAATAATTCAGACGTCCTCACTTTGCATTATAAAGTTTCCTCTCTCCTTAAGGAGAATATTTAATTCTAACAATTCGTAATGGAAAACCATATAACCCAGAGTGATAAAGTCTAAAAACTGGAAAGGTCCTTACAGTATCTAGTCCAGATAGAAAACTCTCAGCCAAGAACTGAGAGTGGCCCACCTGATTTAGAGAGATGTCCTGTGATCAAGTATCAGAATGAAAGACTGATTATAGAATCATGTCCATATTGACAATTTTCAATATTTAAGTCACTGGTGTTTTTCTATTTTATGAAGTTACTACCCCCATCTTCCAATGTGGTTCAGTGAGTCTATTTTCATTTTGAATTTTTAAAAAGTGACCTGTAGATAATTTTATTTTTCCTGACTTAGATTTCATGCAAAATATGGCTTGCTTTCTCCACTAATCAAGGCCAGCCTCTCCTCTAGTGCCACACTCCATCCATGACATTTCTGACAATTCATCATCTGTTATCCGCTTAAAAACCTCCATTCACGGGATGCTTTCTACTCCTATCCCATCTGTGTTAGTCCTGATTATAAGACAGCTCTTCCTTCCACTGCTTCAGTGCCTGGCACCAGAGGGTCCCAGTACCAACTCCTATACTCTTAACTGTGCCCAGCTGAAAAAACAACAAGGTTCCCATCATTTCTCCCTTATTTTTTCGTTATTCATCAGACTTAAGCTTAGGCATAATTTCCTCTTGTTTCTTACCTATTCTGAGAGGTAAAATGGTTAGCGGCAGGCTTGCACATTTTATCAACAAATTGCCTCCAACAGAATAAATAAATCCAACTGATGCCCAGATAATAAATAAATCCTACAGATGCCCAGACAATTCTCCTTTTGTGTTTTATCTCCACCCTTCTCCTTCCCCCAGATTCATGCAATTCTATAAGTCAATGATCTTCTCTACATGCTGGGCCAATCTATTGTGTCTTCAAATTAGGCATTTCCTTTGAACAAAACGGAATTTTCCAAAGCCATATTTCAGACAAAAAAAAAAAAAAGCATCTCACCAAATCTCAACAATATTGAGGCTAATGGTAAGTTATTATGGGCTTACTACATGCCAGGGCTTTATCTACATTATCTCATTTAATCCTCTCAACATCCCTGGAGGTGGGATTCTTTTACTCTCACCATTTCCAGCTAAGAAAACTCAGCCTCAGAGAGGTGACTCACTTGCTCAAGGTCACCTAACTGAGTACATAGTGACAGGCCTAGGATTTAAATCTGGGCTTCTCCAAGTGTTTCCACAATGAGTTCTTACCTCCCTGAATTTGTCTCTGTGGCTATAAAATGGATGGCGGGAAGAGAACAAGCATACCTCCTTGTAGGATTACTCTTGGGGATTAAGTGAGGCAACATACAAAGCTACTGGCACACAACAGACGTTCTCCCAGTGGCCCAAAAAGCAGCTACTGATTTCTTTACAACTACATCTGACTGTGCACCCCTTATAATGGGACTCCCACAGCGAGGCACCCCCATTCGGTTAGTGGCTCGCCTCATGCTTGTTCATATTTCCCTTGCTCTTCACATCACCTCTGAGAACCACCAGTACTTCTGCTTTACAACACCCAGCCCAGCAGCTTAACCGGCTTTCTCTAGGTCATAGGTCATGAGCAGCAGGGACAGAACTAGAATCCAGGTCCAGGGAAAGAACTGATTACTGAGCAGGCTAATGTCTCTACTCAGCTGTGCTAAGCACCTTATATGCCTTGTCTCTTTCAACCCTCACACCTAACCTACAAGTCAGCCACCTGAACACAATGCAACCCAGCTAGGTTAAGACACTTAACCAAAGGCACCCAGTTAGTAAGTAGCATAATCCAGATTCACACCCAGATTTTTGTAACTGAGCCCTCAGTATATTAGCTCCTTGAAAAGGTGTGCCTATAGGGTTCCCTTCTCAAATTACCAAAAACAGGACACATTACTTTAGGCATAATCCTTCCTGCCATACAGAAGTCGTTTCCATCTATAACTGGGTGGTTTTAATTTTATAAATTTAGAAGAAGCAGGGTGAGATCAAAACACATGTATAATAGTTCTTGAAATTAACTTAAAAAAAAAATCCACTTCACCACATCTCCAAATGCATTTTTTTCCTCCTATCGATACTAAGCGAAGCTCCTTCGTGCACTCTGGAAAAGTTAGAGGAAAAATACGTCCATAAGAAGCATTTCTGTTTCAATATAATATCTGCCATTTAGAATTCCTTGGTCAACTGCCTAACACCAACCTGGAGAGCCCTTCACTTCCTACTAAACGCCTTTCAGTACTGGACATGGTCAGCATTTCTTAGGGACAAACCCACAGTGGGTGAACGAGGTACAGAGTTATGACTTACAGACAGAGTGCTGTAATTAACAACAGCAACATAAACATGGCTTGCCTTCCCTCCTCATCCTTTGCATTAGCTATGGAGTGGCAGAACAGTAAGTCCATGGCAAATTTAATAAGTGATACTTGCTTTTTAATTCTATGCATTTAACATTACAAATTAAGAAGAGAAATCAGAACAAAAGCTACATATAGGAAAGCTACTAAATGATTAAAAAATAAAATCTCTATATATAGATAGACTAAAGATAAATCATCCTTTTGTTTGTTTTTTTGACTCTGTTGTCTGGGCTAGAGTACAGGGGTATCGTCATAGCTCACTGTAACCTCAAACCCCTGGGCTCAAGCAATCCACCTGCCTCAGTCTCCCATATAGCTGGAACTACAGGCATACACCACTATATCCAGCTACTTTTTTTTATGTTTTGTAGAGACAGAGTCTTACTATGTTGCTCAAGCTGGTCTTGAACTCCTGGCCTCAAGCTATCCTCCTGCCTTGCCCTCCTAAAGTGCTAGGATTACAGGCGTGAGTCAGTGTACCCTGAGTGAATCTGCTGTTTTTAAGTCAACTATCTGCAACGGAAAAATGCCTTGTAGTACTTATGAGTAGCCCCACCCCTCCCTTGTCTGTGGTTTTGCTTTCTGGGGTTTCGGTTACCCATAGTCAACTGATGTACAAAAACATTTCATAGAAAATTCCAGAAACAAGCAATTCAGAAGTTTTAAATTGCACAGCATTTTGAGTAGCGTGATGAAATCTGGCATCTGGGAATGTGAATCGTCCATTTGTCCAGTATATCCATGCTGACACTACCTGCCTATTAGTTGCTTAGTAGCCATCTGGATTATCCAATCAACTGTGGAGGGATCATCATAGTATCACAGGGCTTGTGTTCAAGTAACCCTCATATTACTTCATAATGGCCCCAAAGTGCAAATGTAGTGATGACAGCAATTCAGATATGCCAAAGAGAAGCTGTAAGTGAAAAGTTCTCAAGAAGGAAAAAAGAAAAAAATCATACGCTAGGTTGCTCAGATCTACAGGAAGAACTAATCTTCTACCTATGAAACTGTGAAGAAGATAAAGGAAAATCACACATAATATAATATACAGAGAGTTCAAAACTATCTTTGTTTTCAGGCATCCATTGGGGGGTCTTGGAACATATCCCCTGTGGATAAAGGGAGACTACTGTAGGTACAAATGTTCTTCAAAGCTTCCCAACCCCATCATAAACTGGTAGGGGGAAAGAAGAGACTGAAGAAATATACATAATAACATGGCTGATACTTTCAAAAAGACATTGTACTATTTCAGTTGCAACTAAATGGGAAGTGTTACTGGTTAATCCCTAGGATCATAGTCTTTGTATTATTTGTTCCAGATACTGCCACGTGGATTAATAACTCTATGTTCTACATCTACCAGCTGTCTTTAATGTTAAACAATCAAAAAAAAAAACAAAAATTCCTCCCTTCAATAAAAAACCTAAGGCTTATTAAAAATACATCCATATAGTCTTCACTTGGTGAACTGCAAAGCTGGGATTTCTTTTAAAAACCAAGAGCTGCAAGCAATTCTGGCTCTCGTTTGGAGACTGGTGCAAAATCCTTAAGACTGAGGGACAGCTCTGATTCACACCTTGTTTGGCATTTAGCCAACAGATTCAGGTTGTCTAGGAAATAAGTCAGTTGTCCTGGCTTAAGTAAACAGTGAGCTGCTGGGAAAGCAAACGAGGAGGGATTTTCAGTATTTTAAAGTCATGCAGCCTGGTCAGTAAGTGCTCAGACAAAGGGTCTGACTGCCCCGTTTGAATCTGGGTTCTGCCACTCACCACCTGTGTGATCTTGGGCAAGTCAACTCACCTCTCTGCTCCTCTTCATCTATACAATGATAATGCTAGTACTCACCACAGAGAACTGCTCAGCAAACTGCAGAAGGTTAATACATGCAACACACTCAGGATGACGCCTGGGGCATAAAAGTGCTAAAAAAATATTACATGCTATTATTACCTTTCATAACATTGTGTTGGATAAGAAGTTCCTCTGCCTTTCAGAGTATTGTTAAAAGATAACAGAATGAAAATATAAAGAAGTCTTACCACTTTTGGAAAATGGCATTGTAATACATTCATTTGTTCATTAATTCAAAAAAATATTTATTAAGCACTGACAATGTGCTAGGCATTAAGGATAAAGTGGTGCCCTCTATATAAGAAGCTTATCTTTCAGTGAGAGAGAATACATTCAAAGAATCGTGAAAATAGTCACATACAGATAAGAGCACTTCAAGGAATCTTTTCTAAGGCAATGGCGCAAAATATGAAAGGCTCTATGTGTAAAGATGTTTCATATGGTGTCATTGACAATGGTCAAAGCTGGAAATAACATCAATGCTCAATACTAAACAAAGGGTGAAGTAAAGTATCATATAACTAATGAAATATTATGCAGTCATTAAAGCGACGGCTTTGAAGTTTATGTAGTTACTGCAAAAGGCATTTGTTATAAACTATAACTTGAAAAAAAGCAAAAAATGAAATTTCACTAGTACTGTAACTACGACTGTCTTTTAAATCTGTATATAAAAGACCCAGAAGGAAATATGCCAATTTGGATTATAACGGAAAGACAACAATTATCATTTACAAAGTATTTATTGTGTGCCAAGGAATTTTAAACACCCCTTTACATTATTTCCTATAATTCTCATACTCATAAGTTACATAGTCTTATTCACATTTCGCCCAGAGAAAGGTTAAGTTTGCCCATACCCTATGAGGGAGGGCACTATGATTTAAACCCACGCTGAGTTGATTCCAAAGACAGATTCATCGTAACCACTAAACGTAATGAGAAAGATAAGTTTTTGCCCTTGTGTTTTGCTTTTTAAATAATGTTAACAATAACAACTGATTATTTGTTGTGTGCCAGGTCCTATTCTAAGTGTTCTAGATATATAATTCATTTACTCCTCAGAAATACTCCATGAAGTAGATTCCAATATTATCTTCATTTTGCAGATGAGAAAAATGAGACACAGAACATTAAGCAGCTCATCCAAGGTCACATGGCTGGTCAGGCAGGCAGGCAGGGTATTCTGCTGGTTTCAAAGGGAATTGAGACAAAAGAACATATATGGCTCTACTGGAAATATCATTTAAAATATTTATGTGCAGGTAGTACCTTTTAAAACATTTTAAAATAAGGTATTTTTTAAACTTTGTTTAAATAAAAGAATTTTTTTTAGAAGGAGTGCAGTATTTTTTTTTAATTTGAACTATTACAACATAGCAAGAAGTTTGGAGAATAATAGGAAAACCAGTAGGTTTTAACAAATGCTCATGTTTTTAAAAAAATAACAAAAGCTATACCCCGCTAAAGGCCACTGATTTGAGAAAATTCTTAACTGTATCCTTTAAATTCTACTTAAACTGGGAATCAATATGAAGAGTTACTTAATTCTCAAAAAACAAACCTCATTGTCCTTTGCTAAGGAAATTCAGAGAAAAACAGAAAAAGTTTAGATGGTATCTAAGGAAGAAAGCTAGCCGAGGAATAAAGGGTCAAATCCCCGGACAGCAAGTGGAATTAAAACAAAAACAAAACTGAGAGTGACAAAGAAATATCACTCCAACAAATCTGGAGTCACTAGACCCAATGCTTCTTTTCCCCCTAACAACAGACAGACACCGCAGCCTCCTCCCCGCCACCTTCTTGGGTCTCTGCCTGCTGCCCAAGTCCCACAAATGGGGTCCTTCAGGAAGAGATGAAATTCTACCTTCGAGTGGAGAGTCAGTATAAAAAAAAATCACCATAGGCAAAGGGAGGAAGAATGCTCCAGGGGGACGGCTGGACACCTCAGAGAGCTCAAGCAGCACTTCAATTAGCGTGCTGCAGGGCTTACGCACACAAATGCAGTTTAACTACTGCATGCACCCTTAAGAAATGAAATTACCTTTCCAACTCAAGTAGTTCTACCCAGAGTTCTGTCTAAACCCCTGAGCTGAGATGCCTGACTGACATTTTCCTAGTCTCCCTGGTCAAACTCAGAGCCTTAATTTAACACAAAGAGCCTTAGCTGAATCCAAGCCCCAATACTACAAGTAATGATACCTTTGATCCGCAACAGATTTGAACCTCAAAGGCACTTAGTCCACAAAAATGTGCAGATGCAGCCTCTATTTTTTTTTTCTTCTTCTTTTTTCTTTTTGGTCTTTCAATGCAGCCTAGCCTGGCCAGAGCTGCTTCAAATTTCAATTCTGTGCTGCCTTAGGTTTATACAAGGTACATAAAGATTTATGGCAGCCACAAATTCCTATTTTCTCATTGTCTTTGTCTTTGAATTTAGCACAACAGAGTGAGAAACAGGCTCAGAAAACTAATAGACTGGTGGGGAAAACACAGCTCCCAAATCTCCAGAGATACCTAGTTGGGTAAGAGAGTAGAGGAACACTAAGAAAGCAAGTAACACATTAATTGCTACGAAGATAAGGACATTTTCTCTATAGTCTACCAAGTGTCTACCTCAAGGTCACAAGGACACCCAATGCTGATGGGGACAGGTTCATGCATTTGTCTTGTCTCACTAAGCTCTCTGGGGGAAAGGATTCTGTCCTGCACAGCAGGGAGTCAAACAGCTGTTAAGAGGGTGGGCTCTGAGGTCAGACCACCTGGATTCATATTCCAGCTCTGCCACTTATTGGCTGATGACCTTGTACAAGTAATTTAACCTTTGTGTGCCTCTATTTTCTCATTTATAAAATGGAAAAGTGGAAATAACTACAGTCTCTCTTTTGGAGGATTATTGGAAGGACTAAATGTTCATAAAACAGTGCAGTACTTGGCTCATGGTAAACACTCAGTAAATTGCAGCTGCTGTTATTATTATATCCAGTCTTCCCCAAGGTTTCCGGAATAGTCTGTGTTTACAGAAGGCATGGATTAAAACTAAGCCAACATCACTATTACTGGGCACCAATACCTCAAAGACCTACAAGTCTGTCATATGTAGTTTATTTAACACTCATGCGTATAGGATTATAAAATGAAATTGTAACAACCCTACCACATGGTTACCAACCCTTCTCCTTTTCCTAGCTAGTATTTAATAAAAGTATGCTTCCTATTCTGTAATATTTTATTGCCACCTGAACCCCTGACCACTTGTTAAATGTATTGTCTGGTGTGCTTAGGTCCCTAGTTAAACTACTGAATTTTCATGTAGGCTTAAAGACTACTTGTCAGACAAAAAAAAAAAAAAAAAAATCTTAGTAGAGACTGGAAGAAAGGAGGAGAGGATTTTTTAAAAAGTCATATGATTTCAGAATTGAAAATGACCTACCCACTCCAATCTGATTTTAAAGAAAGATCTATCATTTTCTAGTCCAAGCACCACGGCCAAGACAGGACCAGAGCCTGACTCCTGGTTGGGTCAGCAGGCTGCTCACTGCACTGTGTGCAGACAACCTTCTCCCCCCATTACACATGCAACGACACCCACACACCTGGAGCTCAGGAAACCCCTTTCTGACCGTTCGAGTAGAAGCTTAACTTCCCAGATTTCGCCCAGTTTCATAGAAGGCAATGTCCCAGAATTTAGGAATTCCCGAAAGCTTTGCCACTGAGCAAAGCCCATTACAACCCAGATGAACTGAAATGAGCCATGGGAGGATTTTGGATTCCTAGATCTCACAGTCAAAGTAAAGGCATTGATTTAAACGAAGTCGAAGGAACAGAAAACTGTATCACTTGCAGAGTACTCATTTTCACTAAGCTGCTTTCCCTGCCCAAGCTATGTTTCATGGGACTAACCCCCCAGAGGTAACAACGTGGGAGCAGAGCTGATGGGGAGAGGATGTGTAAGACAGCAGCTACTATGATTTACCTGATATAGAAATGAGTTGTTAAAAATCAGAATTCTTGGTAATATTCTCAGGGTATCTAATGAATAAATATCAACTAAGTCAATCTATCTAAGCACTCAAGAGTGGGATTAAAAAGTATTATCAACAGAGGCAAATTTGAGCTAGGAAATAAACCCTCTGGAGCTGGAGAGAGAACTTATTTCATCAGTTCTTTCACGTGGTTCAAGGAATGTAAAGAATATTGAAAGCGATGCAAGTCTCCAATATATAGTCAGCATACTGTTACCCTGGTGTTCTTATGTCATACTTGTGACTTTTATTTATTCTTTTGAAAGACAGTTTTCTCTTTTCCTCTATGTTGAAATCGAATTTTGAAATGCCTACTGTTTTTTAGGGTCGTGACTAATGGGGTATGTGTGTACACTGGGTATCTAATTCACAGATAAGGGATTGAGCATCTATGAGCAACTGGTCCAGGGTAACAAATTATAAAAAGCCTTAAGGGGGGACTGAGGTCAAACGACTAGTTAATGACAGAATCATAAACTTTCAACCGTCTGGTACCAGAAGACAGGAGCTAGCAATTTTGTTTCTTCTTCACATCAATGCCATGAAGTTGGAAGAATTAGCCCTACTCCCCTAGGGGGAAATGAAAGTCCTAAGATGTTAAATCATTCATTCAAGCCATATGGCAAGAATAATGCCAACTAGTGGTGGAAGCTATAAATTGGCAGGGTTCTTTTGGAAGCAAATTTGGCAATATTCATCCAAGAGCTTAACCCAAGAAGCAATTTAGAAACATACATAAGTATTTTTATTCAAGGATTTATTCAATATTATTTATAATCATGAAAAAATAGAAACTAACAATAAGAGCTATTATGCCAGTGGAATATTACACAGGCATCAAAAATCAAGTTTTCAAGGAATATATAATAACACAGAAAAATGATTATAATATGTCCATAAATAAAAATATCTACATCAAAATATTAAATGAGCATATCCTGAGTATTAGAATTATGAATGATTTTTATTGCACTTTAATTAAAAATTGACAATGAATATTTAATACGTTTATAATTTTTAAATGGTAAATAAACTTGAAAAGAAACACCACAAATTTGCCCTATACTACTGTGTATCTAAAATTTTTGTTCAGGTAAGTATTTAAAAGGCTGTTTACCTATAAAAATACACTATAAAAAGTGTAAAAATACCTATAAAAATACACTGCCTAAGAGAAATTTAAGAATTTCTCTTAAAACTAATAATTATTGAGGTTTTACTATGTGTCAAACAAGTTTCACATATGTGACCTTACTTAATCCTTTAAAAACCCTGTGAAATAGGACTATGATCATCACTCCATTTTAGAAAGAAAAAGCTGAGGATCAGAGCGGTAAAATGTGACACCCAGGAAATGAGAAAACCAGATCAGGGGCCAAGTATCCTTTCTCTAAAGCTTCTCATACAGTCCCTGTGTTAAACATATGGCCAAAACCTAGTTTCACACTGAGTAATTTTTCTAAAGGCACAATATACTATGCTTTTAGTTCAGGAGGTGATACTAGCATATGGTTGTTAGGATGTCTATAGTTTGCTTTAAAATATTTCAGCACATGCAGTATAATATTATAGTGTGTGTATTAATTCAAGTTATGCACCAGGTACAATCAGTTGTCCTAACGTGGGCTTCACACTCCAAGGGTTGTCTGTAAACATTCTAATCGGCAAGCAGAAACTTCAGTAAAACACAAGAGGCTTTGGTAATTAGCACAAGGAACATTGAAACTGTGAATTTCCATTGGTGAAGTCAATGGCTTGTTAACTAGCATAATGGAGATTAGAAATGGACTCCTATTCATTCAATGAATAGGACTTAAGTTATGGTGATTAGCTGAAAACCCTAAAGATGCATCCCACCCTTGCACTATCAGGGTGTCAGTCTCTATCCAACAAGCCTGTCTCCCTCCAACGTTAGGAATGGCACCCAGGGTTTATGCCTAAGTGGTCCTATGGCCAGCCACAGAATCAGAAGACTATGAATGTCTGACACTACCTGTAAAATAGCTGAACCTTGCCTCTGGAATAGTGTCTGCTCTGCCTTAGTGAACTGGTGGTGAAATTCATGGTTAGAGTACCCAAAAGGATGGAGACTTAATTATTAAACTTACCGAACAGGCAAACTATTTTGTGCCTACTTGTACATAAATGATTAATGAATGTCTGTATA